CATCCAGCTCCCTTTTTGTGGCCTGGGAAAGCAGCAGAGGACGGCCCAAAGCCTTGGGACCCACATTCACGTGGGAGACTCAAAAGAAGCTCCTGGCCTCTGGCTTCAAATCATTTCAGTTCTGGCTGTTGTGGCCTTTTGGGGACTGAACCAGCAAATAGAAGTTCTTTCTCTCTGCTTCTCCTTCTCTGTAAATCTGCCTTTTCAATAAAAATATATCTTTAAAAAAAAGTGAGTGGAAAGACTGAAAGTGGGAGAATGGAAAGAATCAAGGAAGAGAAACTTGTAAAGCCAACTGGAGAGCACATCAATGAGTTGTGGGCAACCAGGCACCTGTTCTTTTTCTGGGGACTCCAATAGCATCACCAAGATGTACTTTAGAATTGCCCTGCTGTAGAAAAGTGTGTGTCCTCTGGTTCACATACTGCATTGAATCAAAATGTCCTCGTACACCCAAGTTATCACGGATGTGAATGACTTAACAGATTCCCAGAGATGTCTCTGGCTGTTAAGCAGGGAAGACCCAAACCAAAAACCAAGTGAGATGGGTGATGTCAGATTGTTGATAGAAAAAGCAGGAAGATTAGCAGCAATATACACGTCCAGGACAGAACATGTCAGTCAACTTAATCTGACATTGAGAAGATACCATCCAAAAACAGAGAAAAGAGAAAGCTAGATTTAAGCTGCATAGCCCATTTTCCTATCCTTATTCATGTTCCACCTTTCTGTACCTGGTCTGTGTTCTTGAACGGATATATGACCAGAGGTCATTGTCACTGATTTGCCCAGTAGTAGGTACTCATGAGAGATCAGAAGCCAGAAAGAAATATAGATCAAAGTAGACACGTCTCTGGCTCCCTTCATGGCTGGCTGGGAGTTGGGCAAGGTCTGCATTCCTTTGCTTGCATGCAATAGTACCTTCACTATGCTCTTCTCATCTACTCTGAGTGTGACATTTGTTTCCAGCCAAGTTAAAATCTGACACTTTTTGTTTGTTTGTTTTTTATTTTTAGATTTATTTATTTTTATTATTACAAAGTCAGATATACAGAGAGGAGGAGAGAGAGAGAGGAAGATCTTCCGTCCGATGATTCACTCCCCAAGTGGGCGCAATGGCCGGTGCTGCGCTGATCCGAAGCCAGGAACCAGGGACTTCTTCAAGGTCTCCCATGTGGGTGCAGGGTCCCAAGCCTTTGGGCCGTCCTCGACTGTTTTCCCAGGCCACAAGCAGAGAGCTGGATGGGAAGCAGAGCTGCTGGGATTAGAACCAGCGCCCATATGGGATCCTGGCGCATTCAAGTCAGGACTTTAACCGCTAAGCCACGCCGCAGGGCCCTGACACTTGGTATTAGTACCCAAGAATGTATATAACTGAAGTAAAAATTAGCTAACTGGAATGCAGTTCAAAGAGAAGTCTCTAGAATGAAATGTAGAGAGACATCAGAATGAAAAATAAGAGAAAAAATGGAAAATAGGGCCTGGTGTGGTAGCCTAGCAGCTCAAGTTCTCACCTTGAACATGCCAGGATCCCATATGGACACAAGTTCTAATCCAGGCAGCCCCACTTCCCATCCAGCTCCCTGCTTGTGGCCTGGGAAAGCAGTTGAGAATGGCCCAAAGCCTTGGGACCCTGAACTTGCGTGGGAAACCTGGAAGAAGCTCCAGGCTCTTGGCTTTGGATTGGCGCAGCTCTGGCCATTGCGGTCACTTGGGAAGTGAATCATCGGATGGAAGATCTTCCTCTCTGTCTCCCTCCTCTCTGATATCTGATGCTGCAGTAAAAATAAATAAATCTTAAAAAAGAAAAGAATGGAAAATACAAAAATTAAGACAAAACCAGAGATGAAACCACATAAAAGTCTAACATACATTTGTTCAAAGTCTCAGAAAGAAAGGAACAAGAAAATGGGGAAGAATTGCTATTTAAGGAGACAGTGACTGAGAATATTTCAAACTTGATGAAAGATATCAAGCCACATATTCAACAAGCCTGTTGACTCCTAAAGAGAATACACAAAAAGAAATCTCTAAGTCGTTACATTCTAGTGAAACTGTTGGTGATCAAAGACAGGTTGCTGACACAAGATCAGAAATTATGCTTACAGGTGACCTCTGAAATAGAGTTGGGGAAAGAGAGACTCAAGTAAATGTATCCTAGTTAGCTCCTATCCACTCTGCTGCTATCTGCACCATGTCTCCTGTTCCAGCAGGCTGATCTTGAATGAATTCCTTCTTCCCCTGGATTCTGATTAGATCAGGACTATAGGAATACTAGAAAGGGAGGAGAATGAGAATAGTATATTTATTTCCCTAACTACCTTTGTGTGAAACTATTTCAGGCTAGCTGCTTCCCTGAGATGCCCATGTGCAACAGAAAATTAAACCCCATTCATGATAACCCAAGACTAGAAATAATACAAAATCCATCAACAGTTAAGAATGTATGCTTAGGTTATAAAATTGTAAGAAAATCAAAGAAACATGATTAACCAAAAAAAAAAATCTGAAAATGCTGACCTTTGGGAACAAGTAATGACTAGGGAACACAGCAGGCTGCTGACTCAGGTTCCTGCCAATGCACACCCCGGTGACAGCAGATGACGGCTCAAGTATTCGGGTCCCTATCCTGCCCCCACATGGGCGATCTAGACGGAGTTCCTGGCTCCTTCCTTTGACCTTCTCTCTCTCTCTCTTAGAATCTTATCTCTGTGCACCAAAAGAGTCCAAAAGCAGCATCACCCTCATAACCATGATCACCCCTAAACTCAGATTGTGGTCTCTGAAATCAGTCCTTACCAAACGCCACCAAGTCTCTGCAGAGAAATGTCCAGCTTCCAGTCTGGGGCCGAGAGTACAAAGAGACCAGTAGGTCTTAAAGTGCTGGAGAGCAATGAAACTTACACTGATTAATGGTGCATTTCAAAAGGACATCTTAGCCAGGTTACAGGAGCTTTCACTGACATATCTATGACAATTTCAGTGTCCAAAAATAATTACTGTGATAGACTAATGCATACTGAGTAAACGAATAAAGAAGAATCTGTGTTTTTACACTAACAATTAAAATTGGCCACTGACACAGATAACTATTACAACTTAGTACTCTGCAAATGACTAAACGGAGAAAACAAAGAATACATTTTACCTTTACAGTTGAAATTGCCTGGTAGGGAAACTAAAACCAGCTAATGAGAGAAAATTCTTCTTTTATAATATAAACTAATAAACAAAAAATTGAATTATAGAAGAAGAAAATTTATTATTTTGCAACCATTAATGAAGTAATTCAGTCAAGCTGGCAAAACTATTCAGTGAAAAACTGGTGTGGAACTGGATTTTCTCACTGTGCCCAATATTCAACCCATTGATTCCATGCTGGTCCCCTTAGCAAAAGATAAGTTTGTACCCAAAGGTTTGGCTTTACCTCAAACCTTGGTCAATTTTAGCTTTACTAATAGTAAGATAGCTGGACATCATGCATTTTCTGAAATGACACAATCAAAAGTGCTTTGCTTAAATAAAAAAAAGAAAAGAAAAGAAAAACCCCACTTGCTCCAATCAGGACTTCAGGTGCAGTTTCTAGTTTATAATCAATAGGGGGACTACATAGATACTGGGAAACACACTGCCAGGAGACAGACATATACAGAAAGCGAGATTTTTGAAAGACAAATTGATCTGATCTCTTCAACGAGATAATGGCAAAAATGAGAGGGGAGGGGACTCAGCGTCCAAGGACCTTGACTGGCTCCTGCTTTGAACAAAACAATTGAGGAAAGGACATTTGGAGTGAATCTGAGAAGTGTGAATATGAACTGAGCATTAAATGGCTAAGGGAATTATTGAACATCTTACTAGACATCCTAAACATGTTTTGGTTAGATAGGAAACTATCCTTGTTTCTTGGTAACGCTACTGAAATATTTATAAGGGAAATATGCCTATCATATCTCCTGCTTTAATACTACAAAGCAAATATGGCATAATCTCCGATATTGTTAAGTCTAGATGACGAATGTATGAGTTTTCATAAGGCATTCCCCCTTCTATTTTTGTATTTTAGTAGAAAGCAGAGAGTAAAAATATTAAATTTGACCTTTAAAAAGCACAGTTCCTGGCTTCTCGGGGCGGGGGCAGTGAGGGGGAGACAAAGAATGAAGGCAAAAGACGAGTTAGGATAGAATGCTTGCGGCGGTGCCTACAGCACAATGGTTTAAGTGGAGGGGGCAGGATGCAGTGAGATCGCCGGTGGGAGCTGGGATCGTGGAGAGAACCTACAAGGCTGCCGAAAGGCCGGGGGTGGGCCAGGATGCGGTGCAGTAGGTGCCAACCCAGCCACGGTCTTCAGTGCCGCACCGAAGCCTCGAAGCCACCTGAAGGCGTGAGTCCAGCCAGCACATGCACTTTGCAGGAAGGGAGCTTGGGCGCAAACAGGTTGTGCGACTTGCCCACGGTTCTCCCCTTCGTCGGTAGCCCTGTTAGAAGGGGAGCCAGGCGAGCTCAGGAGGATGGCAGCGAACTTGTCACTTTCGAAGGTACAGGAGGGGGCGTATTCTACTCGCTCTGGACTCATCCTGGGGTGTGCACTTGCCGTCCACGCGTCTTTCCTGCTCCTCCTCCCCAACTCCTGCTACCCTCTTGCCAACTCTAGGACCGGGGGACAGAGGCTATAGTCCTTGGACGGGGAATACAGGTCAAAAGAAGGTGGGCCCATCCGGGTGTTCTGGTGAGGCGCCCACTACTTAGCAGAGGAGGAACCGGTCGGGTAGCGGCCCCCGGGTAAGACGCGGCTCTTACGCCATCTGTGACGCAAATGAGCGTAAGAGCTGGGGGTGGAGGTGTCGTCAGCACCCCTCGCAGTTGGCCGAGTAGAGAGGGGCTGTAGACCCCGCCTCTAGGTGGGTGGGGAGTGCCAGGCCCCGCCTCGACCCCGCTCGCCCGAGCCCGCCAGAGTCGCTGTGGTCCGCCGGGGAAGCAAGCACGCAGAGCCCGGGAGGATGCGGCGCCCGCGGCGGCCCGGGAGTCCTGGCGGCTCCGGGGGTCTCCGGCTGCTCCTCTGCCTCCTACTGCTGAGCACCCGCCCCGGGGGCTGCAGCGCCATTAGTGCCCACGGTCAGGAGGGAACTTGGGGGGCGGGTGGAGGATGCCATTTGGGCCCGAAGAAAACTCGGGGGTCGGGGGCGGGGAAGAGATGGAGGAAGTTCTGCGAAGGTGGGAAGCGCAGATAGATTTGGGGCGGAGGTGGGGGAAGGAGCACCTTGCGAGGTGGCAGAGGAGAGGAAAGGGGCGTAGGCCTGGAGGTGGGGCCGGAGAGACGGGGGCGGGACCTAAGAAGTGGACTGAGGAAAGATTGTGGGTTCCGGAGGAGCCATGGGGTTGCATGTGCTCCGGGGGACCCGCTGAGAGGCTAGGGGAGAAGCAGTTGTCCGCCGAGGTACCAGCGAGGCGGTGACCCGCGCCGGGGAGGGCGAGGGAGGAAGAAGAGGAAGCGCGCAGTGGGAGCTGGGGTTTAAGCCTAGAGAGGTGGATTGCTGATCTCCTATAAGAGGGAGAGTTGGGTGGGAGACCAGAGAAGGATGAAGAACGGAATATCCGCTCCTGTCCCCCTCCCCACGGCCCGGCCTGGTGCTGATTCACATCTGTGTGGACACAGTCAGCGCTGACTCACTGGCCGGGAGTGGGGGTGGGAAGGTGACGCGCGGGGGAAGGGGCGCAGCCTTGCCAACTGGCGCCCCCTTTCCCTACCCGGGAAGACCGACGCGGGGTACTTCCTGTGACGCTGTGGGCTGGCAGGATGGAACGGAGGGTCGGGTCCGTGAAGACTCTTCGCTCCCGCCACCCTCTGCCACCACGCCAGCCCTCGGCCGCGCCGGGCCAGGGTTTCAGCACCGCGGACAGTGTCCGCAACCCCGGGCTTGGGGCAGTGCTGCACACTGCCTTAGAAGAGAGCCCACCCTTCCCTCATACCCTCATACTCTTCATACCCCCCACGAGGAGGTGTGCTAGGGTTCCCACTTTTTATAAGTTCCATGCTATCATAGTTAGGATGCTTTGGGAGGCTTAGAAGGAAGAACGCTCTCCTTCCAGAATTTGACCTCAAACTCTCATAGTAGCAAGTGTGTGAGATGGGAGCATGTGATCCTCCCCCTCAGCCACGAACCTGGAAGGTGTCTTCTCGTCATTCAGTTAAGCACAGTCTTGTATAGATCAGACTCACAGATATAAGTCCAAGGCTGTATCTCATGCCTCCTTCTTTGAAGAATGCTAGACCTCTTCTCTCTTCTTTCTTCAGCTTGAAGACTCCCTAGAATGAAAGAACAGCCCCCTGTCTTCTTTTCCCTGCTCCTCTCCCCTTGACCTTAATGATCATTCTCTGTGTGTGACTGTCTGAGCTTCTGCTGTCCCCCTATAGGTTGTCTGTTTGACCGCAGACTCTGTTCCCACCTGGAAGTCTGTATTCAGGGTGAGTGAGACTCAGAAGAAACAGGGAGATACAAAAATAAGTAGGTGGGTGGATGGGGCTGAGAAGGGAGGAGGGTTACTGGGCTTGAGGGAGCAGGGGGACAGACCTGGAGGATCAGAGCTCTCTGGAGCTATGAGGAAGTAGAAAAATACCAGTTTGTTACCTGAACTTTGGAAGTCCTTGTCCCCTGCTAACACCACTTTTGTGCTTGTAGATGGCTTGTTTGGACAGTGCCAGGTGGGAGTGGGGCAGGCCCGGCCCCTTTTGCAAGTTACTTCCCCAGTGCTCCAACGCTTGCAAGGTGTACTCCGACAACTCATGTCCCAAGGTGAGGTCTGGTGCACTGGAGAAGAAAGATTGGAGCTTGGTTAGATACTGGTGAAGAAGTGAGAGGGGTTTGACTCAAGGATTGTCATGAAATACACGCATTTCCCAGATGTCACTGGAGAAGGGGGCAAGACTAGAGTGAAGGTGAGACCCTAAACATAGAATACCCACTGTGGAACTCTTGAGAGGAGTCCAGAGGGAATTTGTAGAATAAGTCATTGAAACAGGCCAGTAGTCACATCTTGAGGATAATTTCCACTCACTGGCCTAAATGTTCCAGCAGCATGAATCCTGGAGTCCTCAGTAAGGAGAACACCCCATCTTACTCAGTTCACTCAAACAGGAAGTATATTTGTTGAATACTTAATATGAGACAGGGATAGTTGTATATGTTTAGAATGTATCTGAAAATGGAACAAAGATCTCTGCTTGATGGAGTTTCTGATTGTCACACAAGGGGAGGGACATCCTGTGTAAATTATGAAATATACAATATGTTGGAAGGTAAGTGCCATATAAAATCACAAGATAAAGGCACCAGGAATGGTAAGGTCTGAAGTTGCAGTGTTAAGTTGGGTGGTTAAGGTAGACATTATTGAGGCTTTGAAATCTGAGCAGACTCTAAGGAGGTGGAGGAGTTTGTCGGAGCATTCAGGAACAGTGTTTTTTTTGGGAAGTTGTCTAAGGAAAGAGTGTTTTCAGGGAGGCCTAGCAGCTAGCTCAAAAGCCACAGGCAGAAACTTGAGGAACATCGTGGAGGCCAGTTTGATTGTCAGGAAGTAATGGAGAGGAACAGTTGAAGGTGCAGTCAGATAGGTAATGGGGGAAGGGGCTCAATTCATTGTGAGCCCATAGAGGAGACTGTGTGTGGACACTATCTCTATTCTGAGCAAAAGAGGAAACCACTACACCTGCTGGAAAAGAATCACTCTCTTGCTGGGTTGAGAATGGGAGACCATTCAAAGCTACCACAATAATTCAAGAAGACTGTAGATTGGATCAAGGATGCAGAAAAGTACTGATGAATGATAGAATTCTTCATATATTTTTGAGAGAGTCATCATGATTTCCTGAAATATTGGAAATGATTACAAAGAAGGCCATTAAGAATGACACCCAGGTCTTATAACCTAAATGACTGGGGCAGTGAAAATGTCATTAATTATGATGTAGAAAAAATGCACAAGGATCAGCTTTGGGGTGATATCTGACCACTTTTGAACATAGTGACTTCAAGATGTCTATTCAAGTACAATGAGAATTTGAGTACTGGATATGAGATTCGATTGAGAGAAAGGTCAAGAGTGAATATAAAAAGATGGAATTCTTTGGCTTACAGATAACTAAATCCTTGAGGGGTAAATAGACTTCAGTGTAGATGAATTGTAGTATTAGAAAGCTCAGAGAAAGGTGAAGAACTATCAGTAGAGATTGACAGGCAGAAGTTAGCAAGATGGGAGAAAAAGTGAAAGTGTTTGGAGTTATGGACGCCACACGGAAGTGTCTCAAGAAGGAGGGAGGCGGGGACAGTGAGGGCCAATGATGACAAAAGGTTAGGAGACCTGGGGATTGGCCACTGGATTAGAATGCGCAGAAGTCACTGGTGACTTTGATTCAAATAGCCTTGGTACACTAATTATGAATAAAATCCAAGTAGAGGATTAAAAAAGAATGGGAGGGAAATAAGTAGGAGCAGCTAATACTCAGGGAGCTCTTGCAGGGATCTCATTGAAAAGAAAAATCCAAGAAACAGAGGGGAAAGTTAGGTCGAGCAGTATTTTTTCAAGATGGAAGAAACTGTAGCATGTATGCACAGTAATAAACGTAATTCAATAGTCATCAGACAACAGGATGATGTAGGGAACATAGAAGGAGTGTAGGGAATGTTCTTGAGTCATTGAAAGAGTAAAATTTAGTGTCCAAGTGGAGGGACTGACTTTAAATAGCAACAAAGTAGTTCATTTAGCATTGATAGGCAAGAAGGTAGGTTTGTGTGTATTAATAGATCACAGATCTATATCAATATCAATAGATTATGAATTAAGAACAACACTGGTTATAAATCCAAAAAGGGAAGAAGAATGGGGGGTGAGAGAGTATGTCTTTAGCATGGGTGACTGATCTTCCCTAAGCGCAAAGTTCAAGGGCAGAGACTCCACCAAAGCACTTCCTCAAGAGATGATCATGATAACGACCCAACAGCAGTGAGGACAATCTGGGTGTCTTTCTGAGCATTTTCGTTTCCACACTTGGTCTTCATAATAGCCTCACAAAATATGTAGTATTATTATTCCCACTTTATGAATCAAGAAAACTGAACTTCAGGATCAACAAAAAGAATGATAGTAACAATAATTCTGGTAATGATAGCGTTTGTGGAAAGTTCTCTGTGTGACAGGCACTGTGCTAGCCATGTTGATAAATGTTTATCAGTTACTACACCGGTTTTGGGAAGTGTCAGTACCCATTTGACAGATGGCAGAATCGCAAATCAGAGGGAATTGAGGCTCAGCAGTTTGTGTGCAGTCAAGATAATTCATCAATAGCTGGGACAGGACCAGAATACAGGCTGACTGCTAAGAGCCATCCCTGAAAGCAGGAAGGGAACAGCTAGGATCACCCACTTAGCCCCATGGCCCTCACCACTGCCCCTCTGGGCTGCCAAAGCCAGTGCAATGCAGGAACATGCGGCTGGGATGCCCTCTGGCCCCTGATCCTGGGGCCCTAAGCCCACCTCCCTCTGTCCTTTGCCCGACAGGACTGTCCTGGCACGATGACCTCACTCAGTATGTGATCTCCCAGGAGATGGAACGCATCCCCCGGCTTCGTCCCCCAGAGCCCCTTCCAAGGGACAGGTAGGCAGCCCTTCTCAATAACCACAGTGTGGTAAGGTTGGTGATCTGCAGTCCTCCACGTGGGATAAGGGGAAGGAGGGGACCCCAAGGTCTCTGGACTGGATCACAGAGAATGGTAATTCCAGCATACTTACATGCTCAAAGGAACTGAGCCCATTCCTAAAAATCCAACAAAATATGGAAACTTAAAAAAAGAGTTTTGAAAAATACTGACACTTAATATCTTAAAGGAAGCATCAAAGCAATCATCAAGGACAGGTTGGGCTTTTATTTTGCCCTCAAGTTGCACGATGCCCCATTTCATTACCATGTGGGATCACCTGTGGTGGGAGGCGCCATCACCTTTTGGTGGTTAAGGCAAATTGAGGCCCCACAAAGTGGAGGAAAGGAAATGAGGCCCACAGGGCTCAGATGACGCTGGGATGAAGAAGGCCAAGTGGCAAGGGAGCAGAGGGAGGGGCAGTCCTGACCATTTGAACACACACTCGGAGAGCCAGGGATGGGGACGAAGCATGGAGGATCAGCTAGGCCAGCTGCAGGCAGTTTCCTCAGACAGGTTATCGGCTCCTATTCTCCCCTCCATCCCTAGTCTTATGGTTTCCCCAGCCTCTGCAGCTGTATGTCAGGGACCCAGGTATCCTAAGTGGGGAGGCAGGTGCCTCTGCACAAGGCTTGGCCCTTGGCCTCACCCATCTGGGCTGTCTCTCTTCCCCATAAGGCCACTTAAAGGTCAGACCTGCTCTACACTGCTGAGCTTGACAATATCTGTCAACACACACACACACACACACACACACACACACACACACACACACACACACACTGCTGTCTTCCCCAGATCTGGTGTGGTACCCAGGCGACCTGCTCCAGCTGGGGAACTGCTCTCACAGGACATCCCCACTGGTTCCGCCCCTGCTGCCCAGCTCAGGCTTCCTCGACCTTCAGTGGGAGGGAGTGGAGCTGCGGGGGGCTCCTCCCTGACTCCTCTGCAGGCTGAGCTGCTGCCACCACTCTTGGAGCATCTGCTACTGCCCCCGCAGCCTCCCCATCCTGCTCTGAGCTATGAGCCTGCCCTGTTGCAGCCCTACCTGTTCCACCAGGTAAGCCCTGCACTCTGCCCCCACCCTTACTGGTCCCCTAGCCCTGACTGCTGCATCTTCTTACCTGCATCCCTGGTTTCCCACAGTTCGGCTCTCGCGATGGCTCACGGAGCTCCGAGATCTCCCCGAGCACGGGCAGTGAAGGCCCCCCACCCAAGGCTGAAGCCCCCGCCCTCTTCAGCAGAACCACCTCCAAGGGCATGTTTGGGGCCCACTCTGGCCACTCCTTTGGGGATCTTCCTGGACCACCACCTTCCCAGCTTTTCCAAGACACAGGGCTGCTCTACTTGGCCCAGGAACTGCCGATGCCCAGCAGGGCCAGAGCGCCACGGTTGCCAGAGCAAGGGGATAGCAGCCAGGCACAGGACTCCTCAGAGGGCTATGAAGAGAAGGAACTAGGGGGTCATGGGGAGAAGCCTCCTTCGCTGGCAGTGCAGCCAGGTAACTAAGTCCCCAGCATCCGCCCCTTTGCCTATAGTGGAAATCATAGAATGCATTTGTCTGGGGCTGAGCTGACCCTGCTGAGCATTAACGTGAGTGGGGATAGAACAGGCGTGGAAAAGTTATTTTCTTCAAAACCATCCTTGGCGGGCCTGGAGCTTAGTCTTGGGTCCATGAGAGTGAAGGGAAGGGGAGGGCTTAGAGTTTAAGCAGCAGCTCTGACGTGTGCAGGCCACACCCACCCAGACTCCCACCTCTCTCTCTCTCTCTCTCTTTGTCTGTCTGTCTCTCTCTCTCTCTCTCTCTCTCTCTCTCACACACACACACACACACACAACCTGCCATCTGCCCTAAGCTCTCTGCCTGCTTCCCAACAGATGGGCCGCTGCTGAGACTGGCTGCTGTGCTGGCAGGCTATGGGGTGGAGCTGCGTCAGCTGACCTCGGAGCAACTCTCCACTCTCCTGACCCTCCTGAAACTGCTGCCCAAGGGCACAGGAAAGAATCTCGGTGAGTGTCCTTGCAGAAAGCTCTCAGCACCCCACGGAGTAGCCTGGAGGAGGAAGCTTAGACTCAAGGTTAAGGGAAGAGAGTAAGGACATTGCCAGCAAAGGGCAAAGGGGCCAAGTGTACCAGGTTTTCAAAGTTGTTCCAGGCGGTGAGCTGAGGAGTTAGACCAGAGAAGGACTGGAAGGTGCAAGTAGAAGGTGGTGTGAGCAGGGAAAAGCAGACAAGAGGGACGCTAGGGAGAACCTGCGGAGGACATGGCCAGGGCTAAGGGGAAACCCCCAACTGATGGGCAAAGGGGGTAAGGAAGGGAAAAGGAGCCCACCCTTAGGGTGGGGCCATTGCCTGGGGCTTGGCAGCACAGAACAGGCTCTGGGTTCGGATCCTTCCTCCCCCACCATGTTGTGCTTTCTCCCAGATTTTGTTTTTTCCTGTCTCCTCAGGAGAGGCAGTCAATCTGGGAGCTGAGGTCAAGAAGGTGAGTTCCCAGCCCTTCCCCATGGCCACGTACTCCCTTGCCCAAGCCTGATTTTCAGGACCAAAACCCAGAGTCAGCTTCCTCGGATCTGCCTGATGGGCAAGCATGGGTCATTGCCCAGAGCTTCCCATCAAATTCACAGCAGAGCTGGGGCCAGAAACCAGAATTCTTTTTTCTTTTTCAAATTTATTTATTTTTATTGGAAAGGCAGATTTACAGAGAGGGGAAACAGAGAGGAAAATCTTCCATCCACTGGTTTATTCCTCAAGTGAGCCAATATGAAGCCAGGAGCTTCTTCCAGGTCTCCCATGCATGGGTGCAGGGTCCCAAGGCTTTGGGCCATTCTCTACTGCTTTCCCGGGCCACAATCAGGGAGCTGGATGGGAAACGGAGCTGCCGGGACATGAAACAGTGCTCATATGGCTCCTAGAACATGCAAGGCGAGGATTTTAGCCACTAGGCTACCACGCCAGACCCAGAAACCAGAATGTGACCATCTGCTTCTGCTGTGAATCGGTCAGACCATGCCCTGAGTACTTAGGGCGAAAGGAAGCTGCTAGCAGGTGGCCTCCGGGCCCTGGAGCCGGAGGGCCTCAGCTTCAGTTTTAACCGCAGGGACTTCTGATATTCTGAGGTTAAACAGTCTAGACTACAGCCTGCCTATTCCCCATCCCACCTTACTCTAGCTTCCCTCCCAGCCCAGCCCTAACCTGTGGCATATTAGAGACTAAATTTCCTTCATTCAGTCCTGCATGCATCTGTTCACCCACTGGCTTACATTTTGTCAGTGCCCTCTGCACAGCCAGCAGTGCCCTGGCCCCTGGGAGTAGCCACTATGGAGAGGGGATACAGCCCCAGTCCCCCAAACCCATCTGCTGCCGGATGCTACAGCTACACCTCCATCCTTCCTTCTCAATAGGCCGCAGAGGAGCAGGTACTGAGCAGAGAGGTGGCTGAGCCTCCGGCCCCCACCCCTTCCCTGCCCGGACACCCCACTGCCAGCCCCACCTCCAGCAAAGTCCAGCAGGTGGTGAGCCCTGGATCCTCTGAGCCCCTCAAGCCCTCCAACCCCCCTGCTACACCTCTCCTGCTGGAGAAGAAAAGTCCCCTGGGCCAGAGCCAGAGCCAACCCCCCGTGGCGGGGCAGCCCTCCGCACAGCCAGCAGCGGAAGAGTATGGCTACATTGTTACTGACCGAAAGTAAGGGCTACAGCCTGGGATAAGTTTCCAGTGCCTGGGAGGTGGGGGGAAGAGAGGGGGAGAAATTGGGGGTGCACGGCAGGAAATGGGCTTGCCTGCCTGGCAGAGTTGGCTACAATAGGTTTCCCACTTGCCTCCGCCCTCCCCAGGCCCCTGAGCTTGGCTGATGGAGTGAAGTTGCTGGAGATCCTGGCTGAGCACGTGCACCTGTCTTCCGCCAGCTTCATCAACATCAGGTGGGTGGACACGTGGCTGGGGTGACAGCGGGGAGCTGGAAGGCAGCCCGGTGAGGAGGCAATGGCTGCAGGGTCTCGGAGGCGTGGGGTGATGGGCCTTCGAGGAGGAAAGGAAACGTCAGAAGCGCTCTCAGCCCTATGCAAGTTTCACCCACACCTAGCCCCCGCAGTCGGCCCCACCCTCAGCGGCCACTAGAGGGCACCCTCGGCCTACTGCAACGTCTGCTGGAGCGAGGCAAGAGGCAGAGTCTAGAGTCTAGGGGTGCAGGTGGACGAGGCAGTAACTTTTCTATTCGGCAGTGTTGTGGGGCCAGCCCTCACCTTTCGGATCCGGCACAATGAGCAGAACCTGTCCCTCGCAGATGTGACTCAGCAAGCCGGTAAATAGTGCCCCAACCTCATCCCCAGGCTCATCCCCAGCTCTGGCCTTAATAGGATCTATCCAAGCCTGTGATATACATTGGGATGTAACCAGCCCACATGGCTGCCTGGCATGGCATGGCATGGAGCATAGCCCAGCTGGGGCTGCGGAAAGTTTGCCGGGCGTTCTCCCTGCAGGGTTGGTGAAGTCTGAACTGGAGGCACAGACGGGGCTGCAGATCCTGCAAACAGGAGTGGGGCAGGTAGGCACCAGCTGCAGAAGGAGGGAAAACCCCAGAAGGCTGACCCAGAGTCAGGGAAATGTGGAACTGAAAACCTCCTCTACTTGTCTGCCCCGCTCCCAGCCAACCTGCTCAGGCAAGACCGGCCCCTCCTGACCACGCAGTGGGCAGGCTTCTCCCAATGAGACCAATCTGTAGTTAGTTCCATGCTTGGCAAGAAGCAGCTGAGATGTCCTTAGCCTTCTGGAGCCCAGTCTACATTCCGAGAGAAAACCTTGCACAGGAAGGACCAGATCCAACACGCTTCCATTCTGCAGCCACACAATGCCTTGCATTCTACCTTTCACTTCTTTGGGCTCTGTCTACACTTCCCCATGCCCTGGCATAAGTCACCCATTAGGCCTTGGGTGCTTGAGTTGCTCCCATGGGGACCCCTGGATTCGCTCTCCCCCGGATTTCCTCCTTGTCCCAGAAAAGTCCTCACAGCCATTACATGCCCTGATTCTAGCCTTGTGCCCACAGAGGGAGGAGGCAGCGGCAGCCCTTCCTCGAGCAGCCCACAGCGCCTCTCCCATGCGCTCCGTGCTTCTTACTCTGGTGGCCCTGGCCGGGGTGGCCGGGCTGCTGGTGGCTCTGACGGTGGCTCTGTGCGTGCGGCAGCATGCGCGGCAGCGGGACAAGGAGCGCCTGGCAGCCCTGGGGCCCGAGGGGGCCCACGGTGACACTACCTTTGAGTACCAGGTGTGCAGCCCCCAGTGGGCTGGGGGAAGGTGGGGAGGGGAGGGAAGTGGGGGAAACTGGGTTTTGCATGCAAATGAGGGTGGGAGTTGAGTGAATGGTGGTGGAGGGGCAACTGCGAAGACTTTATCCCTGTGAGTGTTCGGGCAGATGCCATGGGACATCTCAAACAGATGGCATTGGAAGCAGATGGTTCTAAGGTAGTGGAATTTCATCTGTGATGCCCTAAATCATCGCCAGAGGTACCTGCTGAGCAGAACAACCCTCAGCAGGATGGAGGCCCCAAGCAGATTCCATTTAAAATCAAGATCAAGTCTAGGGGCCCAACCGGGAACCCAGGACCCCTTTGAAAGGCATCACCACTGCTCCCTCCCTCCACAGGATTTGTGTCGCCAGCACATGGCCACAAAGTCCCTCTTCAATCGGGCTGAGGGTCCCCCAGAGCCTTCCCGGGTGAGCAGCGTATCCTCTCAGTTCAGCGATGCTGCCCAGGCCAGCCCCAGCTCCCATAGCAGCACACCGTCCTGGTGCGAGGAGCCCGCCCAGGCCAACATGGACATCTCCACAGGCCACATGATCCTGGTCAGGACAGAGATGGGGAAAGGACAGGCTGGAGGGAGAGGCAGGGCAGGTGGGGAGTGGGGGCGGGCCAGAGCCAGGCTGTGGTGCCCTTGCAGGCCTACATGGAGGACCACCTGCGGAACCGGGACCGCCTCGCCAAGGAGTGGCAGGCACTATGTGCCTACCAGGCGGAGCCGAATGTCTGCGCCACTGCCCAGGGGGAAGGCAATGCCAAGAAGAACCGTCATCCTGACTTCTTGCCCTGTGAGTGAGCCCCGCACAGAGCCTGGCCCCTTGCACACCAGCTGCACAGATACACTGGGAGAGGGGGGCCGGTGTCCGGTACCACAGTAGCCCAGCCCTGCCCATCTTGGCTGGGGGTGCTGGATGGAGGGAGGGAGGAGGGGTGCTAGGAGGAGCTGGGTTCCTGGCTCAGTGACCACTGGGGCCAATGGGGGGGGGGTCTATGCAGATGACCACGCCCGTATCAAGCTGAAGGTGGAAAGCAGCCCTTCACGCAGCGACTACATCAATGCCAGCCCCATAGTGAGTGGCTTTGACTCTAGCCCCCACCTCCATTCTGCCCTTACATGTACTGCTTCCCTGTGTTCACACCCCACAGCCTAACCAAGGCCTTGGACCCCCTAACACAGAAATTGGGGGGCTACTTCTCTCTTTGACCAAGCTGCTCCATCACATTATTTCCCATCCAGACTCACCATGTGTCTCTTCTGCCCACCCCCAGATTGAACACGACCCTCGGATGCCAGCCTACATAGCCACCCAGGGACCACTGTCCCATACCATCGCTGACTTCTGGCAGGTGGGTTCTGGGAGGGAGGGCTGCTCTAAGGACCAGAAGCCTTCGTAGGCAAACAGTGTTATCCCAATGCCCAAGAGGTCACAGTGGAGCTGACCCCCCCAGTGTCTGTCCCTAGATGGTGTGGGAGAGTGGCTGCACCGTCATCGTTATGCTGACCCCATTGGTGGAGGATGGCATCAAGCAGTGTGACCGCTACTGGCCAGATGAGGGCTCCTCCCTTTACCATGTGTATGAGGTGAGCAGGTGCCCTTGGGCGAGGGGACATTGGCAGTGGGGAAGTAGATGTGGTGGGCATATGCAGATAAATATATATAAACACATGCATGGGTATATATGCTATATAGGATCAAAGCATTCAAGAATCAAAAGTTTATAACAGAGGAGAAAAGTACATGCAAGTACTGGATTTAAAATTGGACTTTAAGCCAGATTAGCTCTAAGCTCCCTAGTGGCCAAAGAAAAAAATATTACCAGTCACAATTCACATAGGCTGCTTATGACAGATAGAAGCAGTTTTTCTTGAGATGAGAGAAGATAGAGATGAACTAGGCACAGGCAAAGCAGAATAAAGAAATTCCAAACAAATGAGAGAAAGTGTCCCAGCAGTCAAACGGGAGACCTTGAGATTACAGCAAAAGATTCTCGTTCCCAGATAAAAGTGCATAATTCCCCTCCACCAAATGAGTACTTGATAATCTTATTAAAGTTTTTTTTTTAATTGATGATGCTCATGGTTAAAGGAAAATATCAAAGCAAAATATGACAGAAGTTCATCAAAATTTGTGGTATGTGTGACAGACACTGGGGTAGACCCAGTGAGGAAGAGGAGGGACGACACTCCCCCCAGGTATCTCTAGCAGAGGACCAGTGAGTGACACAGTGGCCAGGGGTTCTGGGGGCCAGCTGGTTCAGGTGGGCGGCTCCCTTCCTGGAGGATCTGGCCCGGCTCCGCAGGTGAACCTAGTGTCGGAGCACATCTGGTGCGAGGACTTCCTCGTGCGGAGCTTCTACCTGAAGAATGTGCAGACCCAGGAGACGCGCACGCTCACGCAGTTCCACTTCCTCAGCTGGCCGGCAGAGGGCACCCCGGCCTCCACGCGGCCGCTGCTGGACTTTCGCAGGTGCACTAGGAGGGTGGGACCCACACCTGGCCCGCTCTGCGGGAGGGGCCACGAGGAGGAGACTAACAGGGTCAGGGCGATGTGAAGGGCTTTCTGGATTCTCCGGGAAGCCTCGGAGCCAAGGGCAGAAGCAGAGGGACTCATTATGTTCGTACATGAAATCTGGAGCAGCTCAGGCCTGCCGCCCCCTCTGCTGAATAGCGGGCTCCCAGCAGGGAGGCGAGGCAGTGACACACTGAGCCTCTTGCCCTGCTGGCCTAGGGGCTCCAGATGCGGGGCTGAGGGTGAGGCCTGGGCATGCTGGGATGCCCCCCAACCTCTGGATGAGGCCTCTAACTGGGATCCTTAAGGCTGTAGGCACTGACCCCTGAAAATGAGGGGGGTCTTGAGCTATTGTCTATCTTCCACATTTTCAAGTTCCCATAGAGCTAGTGCGCACAGATCTGCTTCCAGGTCATACGGGTCAGCTCAACTATTCATGTGGTCTTCACTGAGACCCTGTAGACTTCAGATATCTGGTATAAACTGTCACTTTGTAAGTGCAGTTTGGCGACAGTCCTCCAGAGGGAAGGCCAATGACCCGATGGTTGTCCTTACAGGGCACCTCTTACAGTAGTCTGTAAGAGATGGGCCAAATTACTAGGGGGCCTCTGATGTGGGGAGACACCCCCACTCCTGGCTGAGTCGTGGTCAGGGTCAGTATAGGAGTATCATTTTTACCACCACCCCATTTGTACAGATCAGAAGACAGAAGCTTGAAGCTCCTAAGGGACTAGGCTGGCCCAGTGCCGGCAACACCAGCTCTGGGCTTCGACTGTAGCCCTGTAGTCCTTTTCCCCCGGGCATGGGGAAAGCAAAGGAAGCAAAGGGGGCCCCCGCACCCCCGATTCCACTCCTCCTTCCTGTGCTGCTGGTGCCCACTGGCCCTCACCACCATTTCTTTTGCAGGAAAGTGAACAAGTGCTACCGCGGCCGCTCCTGCCCCATCATCGTGCACTGCAGGTGGGTGTGGAGGCTGGGGGTGAGGTGACAAGGAGGCCCCTGGCCACAGGATGCTCGTGTGGGACCTGGTTGGTCTGCACCTCGCTTCCTGTTTCCTGTGCATGCTGCTCAACCAGCCCCTTGAGGCTGGTAAACTGCAGCCCACAGGCCCACAAAGTACACCATACATGAGGTGGGCGTGGTTGAAGGAACGAAGGGAGAATGTTCAATAAAACATGAAAGAGTTCTTGGAAAATGGAATCAAAAGTTTATTTGGGTGCAAGTAATCATACATACAATGATGTCTTAAACAGTTGATGGAGATGCATTTTTTAAAAATTTTATTTTATGTATTTGAAAGGCAGAGTTAGAAAGAGATCTTCCATCTGCTTGTTCACTCCGTACATGGTTGTAACAGCCAGGGGCTTGCAGGAGCTTCATTTGGGTCTCCCACATTGGTGCAGGGGCCCAGACACTTGGGCCATATGCCACTGCTTTCCCAGGCACATAGGCAAGGGGCTGGCTCAGAGAGCAGCCAGAACTCAAACCAGCACCTTAATGGGATGCTGGTAGTGGGTTTACCAATTATGCCATACTCACAATGTAACAGAAAAGTGTACAGATTCCAAATGTTTTACACCAGAATAATAGTATCTTATAATTCATTTTCCACAAATTTTTTTGAAAGATTCTCAGAGTGGCCAAGAAAGTAGAAACTAATGTGCAGAAGTAAGCTGGCCCCAGGAAGAGGCTGGTCCTGCTCCCTCCTGCTGCCTCCTCCTCACAGCTGGGCCCCACCCTCCTTTTCACTTATGTCCAGTGGTACCTCACAAGCCACCAGCTCCCCACCCATCTTCCTTGCCTCATTCCTGGCCTTCCTAATCCATCAGCCAGTACCCTCCCTGGTCTAGACTTCTGTGTCCCCTCTGCCCTTCCTGCTGACCCCTAGCTTAACCTGTCCCAATTCCTGTTTCAGTGATGGTGCAGGGAGGACTGGCACCTACATCCTCATTGACATGGTCCTGAACCGCATGGCCAAGGGTAAGGATTGTCCCCTCAGGGCCTGCAACCCTAGGCCCTGGAGAGCTGGCAGAGGAACAGGCTGTCACAGCTCCAGGCCTTGCTCCATCCTCTAAGCCTCCCACCCCAGGAGCCACTTCCCTTTGTTCCCTACATCCCCTCCCTGCAGGAGTGAAGGAGATTGACATTGCCGCTACCCTGGAGCACGTCCGGGACCAGAGACCTGGTCTTGTCCGCTCCAAGGTGACTATGCATGCCTATGACCCCTCCCCACTTTCCAAGGCAGACAGTACCAACAGCAACCCCACACCTGCCTGGGAACCTCCTAAGAGGATTCCTCCTGGGGCGGGTGGTATGGGTGGTCTGATCCTGCCGGAACTGCTCTTCTACAGGACCAGTTTGAATTTGCCCTGACTGCAGTGGCGGAAGAGGTCAACGCCATCCTCAAGGCCCTGCCCCAGTGAGGCCCCCCACCCCTGTCCCAGGGCCCCTGTGGGCAGCCCGACCCGTTGCTCTGCGCTTGAGTGAGCAGCTGTCTGCATAGCCACACTTGGCCTCCTCGCACCAGACCACTGGGCCCCTCTGTGGTTCACACAGCCCATCCAGAAGGCGCTGGCAAAGGAGGGGGATGTGGGGATGAGGGGAGAGTGGCAGCTCACAAGGAGCTGGCAAGCAGCCAATAGGAAAGGCGAGCACGTGCCCAGAGCTTTCCTTGCCAGAGTCCCCCAGCCCCTGTTGAGTTGCCTGTGATTCTGGATGCTTCCAACATGTCTGTGTGCTCCCCCAGCCTCCACTGTAGACAAAGCAGGGTGGGGTGGTTAGTCCCAGCTTCTCTATACTTCATCCCACCCACCACTTCGGCTTTTCCAGCCCAGCTGCCACTGGCCTGCGGCCTTGGTCCACATGTTGGCATCTACCCTCCTTGCCCCCACCCACCCTCCTGCTGTTGGCCCATGCGTGCCTCTCAACCTATTCCCTCTGGTGTGAGAGAACATTTCTGGAAAAATCTACTTTTATATCTGTGTGAATAAAGTTAGTGTGTTGTCTGTGCAGCAGCAACCCAGACTTGTTTGTGCTCACACTATGCCCACCTGCAGTGGGCCATGCTCTGGGCCAGGAGACGGGGCAGTGGGCAAGCCCCCGCTGTGGGTAGTCCTGAGCTGCCTCACATGTTTCATCCTCCTAAAAATGCTACCAATGAGCCCATTTTCCAGAGGAGGAGACTGAGGCACAGGAACCACAGTAACAAGGCTTGAATTGGGATTTGCACCCTTGGCATCCACTCCTCTACACTGCCTCTGCCCTCAGTTCTCAGGCAGCTGCCACCTGCCTTGGGGATAAAGGCACATTGTGGGGCATTGGCAGAGTGCCTGCCACACCTTGGGTAAAACTAGCACAGGCCCTAACAGTCCCTGGGGGCCCTAGCTCCCAGAACCTTCCCTGCTGCATAGTCCCACAAAGAGCCATCCCCTGCCTGTCTAGGAGGAGGTGTCCTGGAACAATCATGGTGGGTGGGGCAGTAAGACCAAAGCAGCCCTGGGCCTGGATGGCCTCTGGCACTGAGGCATTCAGAGCTCGGGTAGTGAAGGGGGGCACAGGCAGCTCTTCCTGCCTCACCTGGGCCCTGCTCAGGCTCAGCTCCGCTGTCCTCAACAGCATCCCTCCCTCCCTAGAACAGGGAGGGCACCAGATGTTTTTGCAAAGTTCCTGTAGATTTTCCCTTCCCAGGATCGGGAGACTGGACATGCCTCTTTCTGAGCAGGTGACTTTTTTGCTTGGAGAAAAATATACCCTGTGCCTTTGGCTTTGGAAGGTGGAGCAAAGGGCTGGCCTGCAGGTGGTAGAGGCAGCGGGAACCCCATGTCCCACTTGACGACAGCTGCTAGTGCCCTGGCCAGACACACGGGGGGGGGGGGTGGCAGCTAGAGGCTTCCTCACTGGGCCCTGAATGGGGTGGACACACACAGGCCTCTGGCTGTGAACTAAGCTGCCTAGGGTTTGGAGACATGACGATGTGTGATGAGCTTTTTGTAATGCCTGTGCTATCCGTTAAGTCTAAACTCGCCCTGGTCACAACCATACTACAGAGTTCTGGGTGATGGATAGGGCAGCAGTTGATGGGGAAGCCAGCTCCCTCCACGCCCAGTGTCCAGAGAAGTGAAGGCAAAGAAGCAGGCCTTCTCAAGGTCCCATATATGTGGGGACGGATGCTGCCAGCTAGCACGACGGGCACCTCCAGCTATTTGGGTATAAGGCAGTGTGAAGTCAGACAGGTCTCCTGCCAGCTCCACTGGGCCACCCTTGAAAGCAGGAAGCCGGGAACACGATGCACCAGCGAGCTGTCAAAACTCAACTTTATTGACGTCCAGTGTTTCCCTCTGGGTCTGAGCTCAGCCCAGCTGGCTTTAATAGGTCTCTGAGGCTCAATGTGATAAGGGCTGGTGAGTCCCCCAGTTCCCCACTCCCCCACCCTGGCCGCTGGGCACTCTAGGCAGGGAAGAGAGGCGATTTTGCTGTGACATTAGAGAAGAAGAATGGGCAGCAGGGTCAGAGGCCAAGAAAGCCATACAAGCAGCAGCATGCCTGCGGCCTGCGTCTCAGGCCAGCTCCGGCCACATACCTGTGGGGCAGCCTACCCTTCCCAGCTCATCACCAACTCCCAGAGCCACGCCCTGCACGGCCAGTCCGTGTGGCCTGGCTTGATCCTTGGATCCCCGAGGCTACCCGCAGGAAGAAAACCTCTCCCAGACGCTGAATGTACCCACTCCAACCAACCCTGGAGCTAAGCAAGAGGTGTCAGGGGAACTGACGCTTGCTGTCATTCCCTGTTCATCCACGTTCTTGCCAGGGACTAATCAAAAGACAAGATGTCCCCCACCTTACAGCCAGTGACAGGCTAGCCAGGGCTGGAAATACATGTCCCAAGATGCGCAGCTCCAAAACCACGTGCCAACACACCACTGCTTCCCCCAAGTGCAACTTATCAGAAATGAGGCTGGGCGCCTGGCATTCTGGGACTTGTAGTCCCCCAAGAAACAGCAGTAAACATCCGGAAAAGAGAGTTCACAGGCTAAGACTACTGATGCCTCCTCTCCCAGTGCCCACCTGCCACCCAGGTCCCAACTCTATGCTCAGCATGGGTGAGGGAGAGGACTGGAATGTCCCCTCCCAGCACATGGGGAAGGCCGCTGTCCTGCTGGAGCTGTGCTGCGGCTCAGGATCCTGGACATCCAGCTCAGAACACATCTGGGGAGAGAGCGGGGGTGGGGTGACAGGAGAGAGGGTCAGCTGCAAGCCGTGGAGGAGGGAGCCGAGCATGCAGCCCTGGGCTGGCCACACAGCCTCTGCCTGATGATACACGGAGGCGAAGCAGGCCTGGGCACAGCTCCCACCAAGCACCCTCCCACCCCTGGGTCCCCACCTCTCCCAGGTCAGCCAGCCTCACCTCGGCCTGGTCCCACGGCCAGGGCAGGCTGAGGCAGCAAGAGGAAGGGAGGAGGAGTGGACTCCGGTTCCAACCTGGACAGCTGAGAAACCCACCCCAGCACCCCACCACCAACACCACCACCTCTGCCGCCAGCCTCCCTAGGTGAGCTCACGGCCCCAACCGGCCCCAGCATCTTCCTCTTGGCACACTGAGGCCTTCTCCAGGAGGGAAGGAGAAGGGAGTCCTAGCCAGGTGGCAATGAAAGCAAGCGATGTGGCCCTCAGGGAGTTGCAGAGAACAGAGCGGGAAGGAGAAGCAGCAGCAGAAGGGAAGCAACAGAGACGGTCAGAGCTCAACATTGCACAGCAGACCAAGGGGTATCTGCAGGTGGACGAGGACAGCGAGAGGACAGCCTGCCCTGCTCCAGGGGCAGCCCCTCCCCATCAGGTGCAGAGGCCATGCCTGCCTCCTTTAGCACTATCAGTGACACAGGCATCAGAGGACCCGGGGCACAAAAAGCCCACCCTAAGCCACTAGGCTCCTCAGAAGCACCATCCCCCCACCCCCAATCTGATGAGAGCCTCCAGGCTCCTCGGGCCCTTCCATTGTCCCCAAGTTCCCACCCCGAATGCCACTCCAGGGACCTATCAGCCCCAGGCTGACCACAGCAAATCCCAAATCCACATGGCACTGCAGGAGGGGAGGGCCTGGGAGAGAAACTTAGACAGGAGCCTGGAGAAAGAATGACACTCCTCTCAGATCTCCTGGCAGTGCGCGGACCCCCCAACAATGGGATTATGACCCCATTCAGCTTCCCTGAGTGCTCAGAGGAGGAGGCAGCGAGAAGCTCTGTCCTCCGGGGATGGGCTGCGGCCGGCTGCGTCACCCCGAGCGCCTCCCACACCTGGATCTTGGTGCTGCATCTTGAGCCGCCCCTGCCGTGCTGGCTGCTCCCCCCGCCCACCTGCCGGCTTCTTCCCAGCTGCCTCCATCTCAGACAGGCTATAGGCCATGGCAAGCTGCAGGTCCTCATCGTCCTCAGAGAGGTCACTGTCGGAGGGCCGGGAAGCAGGGGCCTGCCGCACGTGCAGGTCCCCGGCCCTGGAGGTGACAGAAGGCTGCTGCTCGCGCCGGCTCAGCTCCAGACCCAGGGCCAGGTCATCGGGGACACCTGCAAGAATTCATGGGCCCCCTGAGACCCTCCAGCCAGGCTGCCTGCTTCCAGCAATGGCAGCTCTGACCATGTACGGCCTGTCCAGTACAATTGGTATGCAGGTGTGATGGCTCCTGTGGCAGGGTTAATGTGTGTGGGGAGGTCTCGGGACTCCATCAGGAAGGAGCTATCTCCTTGGACAGCCTGATTCAACCTCCTCCTCGCCTGTGAAATGGCAGTGCCCACATCCTGAAACTATCGCTGTGATTCAATCAGACAACCCAGGCCCAGGCTGGGCACACGGTGTGTGCAATATCAGCAGGCACACAAGGTCCTCCCATTAACTCCTATGTGACATGCTCCTGTGGGAAGAAGGCCACTTGAGGACTTGGGTGTCCTGAGTCTAATTCCTGGCCCTGTCCCCCCTTTCTGGGAAAGAGTTTTGGACTGGGCAGTCCTTGAAAGCTAGGGCCAGTAAATCGCACAGTTCAGTCTTGCCAGAAAGAAACTAAGCAAATACCATCTGTCTGCTTATTTAAGAATACACTGGGGCTGGCATTGTGGCATAGCATATTAAGCCGCTGCCTGTAGTGCTGGCATCCTATATGGACACAAGTTCAAGTCCCAGCTGCTCCATTTCTGACCCAGCTTTCTGCTGAGGTTCCTGGGAAAGCAGCAGCAGATGACCCAAATGCTTGGTTCCCTGCCACCTTGTGGGAGACCTGGCTGAAGTTCCTGGTTCCTGGCTTCAGCCTGACTCATCCCTGGCCATTGTGGCCATTTGCAGAGTAAACCAACAAATAGAAGACCTCTCTCCCACTGTCTCTTTCACTGTCTCTCTGTAATTCTGCTTTTTAAGTAAATTAACTAAATAAACTCCTATAAAAAAAGTCTACAGGAGATACCATATAAATTCAAGTGCTTTAAAAACAGTCAAGTGTGGGGCAGGTATTCAGGGAAGCAGTTAATATGTGCTGCCCACATCCCAAGTTCAAGTACAGGTTCCCTTCCAGTTCTAGCCTCCTGCTCCTAGTATTCCCTGGAAGGCACAGGTGATGGCTCAAATACTTGGGTCTCTGCAACCCAGTGGGAAACCTGGATTAAGTTCCAGCCCAGCCCAACTCGAGCTATAGTAGGCATTTGGAGAGTGAACCAGTGACTGGAAAATCTGTCTCTTTCAAATAAAAGAGAACAAATCAATATTAAATCAACCAACAGGGATAAAACATTTGCAAACAGCAGGCACTGCACGGAGGAGGCCAGCCATCAGCCTGCCCTGGGGACCCTGTGTCCTTGCTCAGGACAGGCCTTCTCTAGTCCTGCCACTCTGACCCACAACAGACATTCCCTCACAGCTCTGCTCAAGCCCATGGAGGGGCATCTGGGGACGGGGCTGCAAGGGGCTGGATGGCAGAGCAGCTCCTCACCATTGATTGTGACCGACTTGAGCTGTCCATCCTCCTCCACTTCAACCCGCTCCTGCCCGTTCTCCATGATTCTGTGGGAGGCAGCACAGGGCAGTCAACAAACCACAAGCAAAGGCTCGAGGTACGTAGGGCCAGAGTCCAGGCATCAGCATGCACAGGGCAGACCTGGTGGACGCACAAGGCTCCCACCCCTGCCCCCATCCCTCCTCCTCCCTGTGCAGCCCCCGAGGGAAGCCCCAACCTGCGGGTGGTAATGCGGCGTCCTTGCACAAAGGTGGTGGATGTGGACACAGAGCGGAAAGCACCAGCCCCAGGACTGAAGGAGAAGGACGAGGAGGAGAAGTCTGGCATGGGAGGAAAGGTTGTTAGTCAGGGCCCCATGCTGTCTGCCACAATCACCCAGCGCCAGGGGCCTCAGTAGCTACAGAGTTATCTATAGGCAGATCTCTCTCTCTCACACACATACACACACACACACACACACACACACACACACACACACCCCATACACACGTGGCAGGCCCAGGGGTGCCAGCTGCCTATAGACCTACAGACAGATCACACACACACAGGCCCAGGGACACCTCAGCTGATGCTTCCACAGACACACTCAGAGCCTGTGAGGCTATGAGGAGCGAATGCTTACCTGAGTGCCCAGGGAAAGCGGAGGAGAAGGTAAAGAAGGGGCCTGAGGGTCGGGAACTCCGGTTCTGAAGCTCGGCAAAGGGACCCAGGTCATCTGCAACAGCAACAACAAAACAGATCAACAGTCACTTGTGGAAAAGACTCCAGCCAAAAGATGTATGATCTGGACTAGACTCTCCAAGAATAGAAGCCAGGGACCAGTGTGATGGTTCATCTGGCTAATCTTCTACCTGCAAGCACCAGCATCCCCTATGGACCCCAGTTTGTGTCCCAGCTGCTCTACTTCCTGTCCAGCTCCTTGCTTGGGGCCTGGGAAAGAGATAGCCCAAAACCTTGATATCCTGAACTTATGTGGCAGACCTGGATGAAGTTCCTAGCTCCTGGTTCCTGGCTTGGGACCGGCACAGCTCCAGATGTTGTGGCCATTTGGGGAGTGAACCCGTAGACGGAAGATGCTACTCTGTCTCTTTTTCACTCTCATTAAATGTGCCTTTCCAATAAAAACAAACAAACAAACAAACAAACAAAAAGCAGCAGCAGCAGCTAGGCAACCATGGACCCTTTCAGTTTTTACTCATTTTTTTTTTTTTAATGAGAAAAACAGAAAGAACTAGGTCTTCTATCTGCTGGTTCACTCCCCAAACACCTGCAGCAGCCAGGGTTGGGCCAGGTGAAGCCAGGAGCTGTGAACTCAGGCCCGGGCTCCTACATGAGCCGCAGGGACCCAGCTACTCGAGCTGTCAGTGCAGCTCATGGAGCACATTCACAGGAAGCTGGAATCTGAAAGGGAGCCAGGACTCCAACACAGAATGCGGCATCTGAAGCGCTGTCTTTCTAAGCTGTTGCACCAAACGCCTGCCCTTGTTTTTCCATCTTTGCCTGCGCTTACTTACCAGGCAAATTTCTTTTACAAAATGTTTTCTAAAAAGCCAGAGTGATAGAGGGGAAAAAAGATTGGCCATCATCTGGTTCACTCCCCAAACGCCCTCAACAATAAGAGCTAGGTCAAAGAGAAGCAAGGAGCCTGAACTTCATGCAGGAATCAAAGTACTTGGGCCACCTCTGCTGCTTCCCAAGCACATCTGCAACAGCTGGATCAGAAGGGCAGAGGAGCCAAGACCCAAAGCAAGTGCTCCAATATGAAACATGGGCATGCCATGTGGCCGCTAATCCACTGCACATGACAATGCACTCACCCCTCTGAATGCCTTTTGGATACTACACATTAAAATGCTCACTAGTTAATCCAATCCACAATAAAGAATACAGGAAGGAAGAGGAGGGAGGGAAAGAGAGAGGGAGGGCAGACAGCTCCCTCAGACAGATCAGTGGGATGCGATGACAGGCAGGTACCACTAGGTGTCTGTCTGCTTTGTGACTCCAAGCAAGTCATCTGCACCTCAGTTTTCTCATCTCTGAATGGGGCCTAAATGATCCAGAGTGCACTGGAAGATCGGGGGAAGATAAAAGTCTGGGCATGAATTAATCATTCCCCCAATGGGATCTGCTTTGGGTGGGAGGTATCATTATCATCCCAGCAAGTTCCTCGGCTTTCAGGGCTGCCCCTGTGGCAGCCTAACAATGTGTCAGTGTCACTCAGTCAGGCCGGTCTGCAAAGTCTCGAGGTCAAGTCACGTGAGTGCTGGCCTGAGAGGGTGTCACAGTCCTGCTCTCAGTGCTCCACCCCCACCACGCAGACTCTCCAGTTCTCCCCCTCCCCCTTCACACCCTATGCAATTCTGCTTCCCTCCAACTGCTGCCCGAGATCCTCCCGGCAGTGAGAGAGCTGGAGCTGTTCCCAGGCTGCCCATCCCACTCACCGAAGAGCTCGGCAAAAGGGTCCCCGCTCCCGAAGAACTCCCGGAAGACCTCCTCGGGGCTGCGGAAGGTGAAGGTGAAACCAGGCCCACCAGCACCAGCACTGCCAGCTTCTGCCCGGGAGGGGCCAGTTCCTGGAGAAGAGGCAGGATGAAAAGGGAGCTTAAGGCATGCAACCCACCCTGAGCAGGGGACCTGCTGCCTGGTGCCTCAAGGGGGGCATCCTATTGCAAAAAGCTGCCCTCCCCCTGCCACCACCTCCTCCTCCCTGACCCACTTCCATCCCTGGCCCCGCCCCTCCACCTACCTGCCCCAGCCAGCCCTTCCCGGCCATAGCGGTCGTAGATTTCCCTTTTATGCTCTGCAAAGAGAGGCCACGTCATTCCTCCTCCCTCCAGTCTTCCCTGTGGCAGCCTCCACTCACAGGTCAGGACTCTCCAAGGACTATCTAGAGACTGACACTGGAGCAGGGCGGGCAGGCAGTATGTGCCCCAGGGAGCGGGAGCAAGGGGCCTCAGCAACAGCTCAGCCTCCTCCACACAGCTAGCTGGCTCCTCCTCATCCGGGTGCTGGACACAACAGCCCCTATCTGACCAGGCTGCTGCAGGAACTACATGAGATGATAGCTCAGCCCACTGAGTGGCACACAGTAAGGTAAGCACCTGCTAGTCATCAGCACACTATTTACCGGGGCTCACCCTAAATGTCTCTGTGACCACCATCACTCCCCCATCACACTGCCCTGCTCCCCGCTGTCTGCAGCCCTGTCTCCGTGTTTGCATCTCAGGATATGATGAGCCCCACAGGACTGGGCCATAGCCTGACTTCCTGCCTTCCACTATTCCCCAACAAGGGTCTGGCTCCATCAGCATCCGGTGACTACTTGTGTGTGAATGTGTCAAACACAGACCAGGACTCCCAGTCCAGCTCTAGGTTATCCTGAACAAGTCATCTCTCACCGGCCCATTTCTCTGCCTGTAAAGTGAGAGGCACATGGCCACCTTGCAGGACACCTGGGAGGGCTCACAGAAATGAGACCCTCAACACCTGGCTCAGCACAGGGGTCACCTGTCCTGCTGCTTACTCCATCCCACCAAATCAGGACTCCTGTTGCTCTCACCACACTGGGGGATGGACCCCCAAGCTATGCCACCGAGAGGAGCCTGCAAGGCACGGCAGTGAGACTGGGCATGGAGGTGGGGGCACATGCTGGGACTCCCTCCCCCGTCCTGCCCCAGGGCCTTACTGTCAGACAGCACTTCATAAGCTTCGGCCACCTCCTTGAACTTCTTCTCGGCAAACTCTTTATTATCTGGGTTTTTGTCTGGGTGCCACTGCAGGGCCTTCCGCCGATAGCTGCAGGAAGAGGATGCAGACAGTTCCCACCTGGGACCTGAACCCAGTGACTGCCCATTAGCCGGAGCCTGCTACTGCCCTTCTGACTTGCATCGCTGCTGCAAATACTGCCTCTCCAACAAGCAGGTCCCAGAGTTCTTCCAGGCCAAGGCTATGACTTACACGGAGGTACTGATGACAGCACAAGGGTGACAAAGTTCCTTGGCCCTCAGCCCTCCCTTAGGGCTGGCTGTACCTGGGCAGTCAAACCAGGGGCAGGCGTGGGCCCGCCCTCCCCCTCTGTGCACTGCCCCGGCATCTGGGCACAGCACGCTCAGAGCCCAGGCCTGGCAGCTGGGTGTAGGGGCGGGTGGCGAGCGGCGCACTGCAAGACCGAGCACAACTTCACACTCCGGACTCCCTCCTCTTATCAGGGGTCTCCTCCCTCCCAACAGTTGTCCTTCCGGGGGCTGTGCCCCGAAGGCTTTCCGAGGGAGCCAGTTTCCAGAGACGCCAACAGGTGCCACTCGGAAGGTACCCGGGGAGGCGCGGAGGCGGAGGACAGCAATGCCCAAGCACTTACGCCTTCTTGATGTCGTCAGCTGTCGCACTCCGCGGCACGTCTAGAATCTCATAGTAGGATGCCATGGCAACTCGGCAGGCGTCAGGCGGGCCTCCTCCAGGCTGCGGGAGAGAAGCCGTCAGACAGACCCCAAAGGCCCTCCGAGCGACGGAAGCCCCTTGGGGGCAAGAAGCGCCCCGAGACGGGGCTGGGCGTGCGGCCCGCGACCGGGTTCCCTCCGGCAATCTTATCTGAGCCCGCAGGCCGGTGCCCGGGGCTATCTGGGTGCGCAGGCTTGGGGTGCCCGGCGGCACCCCCTAACTCCGACAGGCCGCACCTCCTCCGCCGGGAGTCCCCGGCCTCTGGCGGCGCACCCCCACCCCTGCCCCGCGCCAGGAACCGTCTGGCAGCGGCGGCCCGGCTCGCGGCCGCAGTGGAGGACGCGCTGGCCCAGCTGTGCGCGCCAGCATGCGTCAGCGGCACGGAAACTACTAGAGCCGGGGAGGGCCGGCCCGGCCCGGCCCCCCTGGGTGGGGGGGAGGGCGGTGCAGGGGCTGCCGGGAGATGGGGCGGAGCCGGCTATTTTGGGCCAGCACCGAGGCGACGTCATGCCCAGAGGGCAGCCAGCTGGCTGTGACGCACTCATACAAACAAGGACGCAGGGGCTGCCCACCGGCCAGCCGCCTGGGCTCGGCCCTCTGTCCATGCCTTCTCAGCGCGCCCCCAAGATCCCCGGTTGCTGGTCCCCAAGGCCATCGCCACTTCCAGGACTCTCCCACCCCCCCCCCCAACTGCTCCCCCTCCGGAGGCCTCAGATCCTCAAAAGAGGACGCCCTGGCTTCCCGGAGTAGGTCAGACCTGCCTTTTATAGCCTTTCGTGGCATTTCCTTCCTCATGCTTGTCAGAGCAGCAAATTAACATTCAGGGGTTTATTGGCATGCCACTCACCTGCCCACTAGGATGCAAAGGATGAAAATCGTGCCTTAAGCAGGAGCACAGATGACTAAGTGATAAACAGCTATACCAGCCTCTTGACGTGTGGGAGAATGGGACTAGAGAAGCTAAAGGGGCCTGTAAGAGGAAATGCCCCAGATCTAAGCTTTTGCTTCCTATACTGGTCCTGAATAGGCCTATACCACTCCAAAATGATCCCTGAATTCAGGACTTACAGGAGAGCTACGGAAACCTTCCAGGACGGGCTGCTGTTTGCAACCATCCAAAGAAATTGACAAGCATTAGTTGAGCACCTTCTACATGGTAGGTACTGCCAGGGTGTAGAAAGAGGACTGTGGCCCCATGCCTGCCAGTGGAAAGCTTAACCTTGCTAAGATCCCAGCCCAAGGCTTTGCACACAGACCTAGATGTGCAACCTGGCACTGCCAGGACGTCAGATGTATATATTCCTAAATAGAAATCACACCTGAGGATTTCAAGCTGAGGATTGAAAGTCAAGTGGTGCAGGGTGCAGAGTGGAATTAACTAAGTAAAAAATGGTATGCCTTGGTCTAGGCCTGCTGACTGCCACCATCTGAACCTGCAGGTTAAGAAGTATCCACCCATTGGGATATTCTGCCATCACGTGGACCCTTTGTAGGAGACAGGTCACCACTTGCTACAGCACTTGCTCTCCCAGGCTTCTCAGTGCTCAGACGGCCCCCGAAACACATAGCTCTGCCAATCTGAGGTTGCAACTGGGACCCCAAATCTGGAGCGGGTCACGGAAAAGCCCTGGCAAGCCTCACGGCGGTCCATCCATGCCTAGCTTGGTGGAGGCCGCGGAGCCTGCGGCGACCTCTAGTGTCGTGAGGGGGAAATGTCAGCCTCAATGCCTGGGCAGGGGAGGTGGACACTATAGGTGGTTGGAGGAGACAGAGGTCTCTTGCAAAGGCTGCCCCTGTGCCCTGGCCTTAACCACAGTCTGGTTGCTCGGCTTCCATTGATGCCTGTTTCCTGCCTGACGGCCTTTACATTGATTCTGTGCACTATATAACCTCTCATTAATTGAGGGGTGAGGTAGGGAGCAAGAGGGTAGGTTATTTTTGCTTTTATAACCTTGCTGGAGGTACTTGTGTTCATTACAACAAGTCTTCTTTGACCCAAGACCTTATAGAAGAAGGAGTAGGGCTCGTCACGATGACTCAATAGCTAAATCTTCACCTTGCACCTGCCCTGATTCCATATGGATCATGATTTGTGTCCCGGTTGCTCCACTTCCCATCCAGCTCCCTGCTTACAGCCTGGGAAAGCAGTACAGGGTGGCCCAAAGCCTTGGGACCCTGCATCTGCATGGGAGACTGGAAGAAGCTCTTGCCTCCTAGCTTCAGATCAGCTCAGTTCCGGCTATTGTGGCCACTTTGGGAGTGAACCAGTGGACGGAAGATCTTTCTCTCTGTATCTCCCTCTCTTTGTAAATCTTACTTTCCAATAAAAATAAATCTTAAAAAAAAAAGAAGAAAAGTAAGTTAGTTTAGGTCACTTCAAACTTTTCGGATCTCTGTCTTTTCCTCTTCACGTCTCCTATATCCATATATTTTCTAGCCCCTAATATGTGGGCTATATGATATTAAGAATAAGAACACAAAGACACTTTTTTCTTGGGTCTTTTCCTGTGCCCAAGGAAATGAAAATCCATGGGATATAGACAAATGACAACCTAGGGAAGTTATATGGAGCATATCCTATAGAGAAAATGTTAAGTTTCCTTACTCTCAAAGAAATTGAACAAATTAATAAGACAAATGATACAATGTTTAAAAGATTGCTCATTTATTTGAGAGGAAGGATGCCATAGAGGTGGCATCTTCCATCCACCAGTTCACTCCCTAGATGGCTGCAACAGCCAGGGATGGGCCGCCCTAAAGGGAGGAGCCAGGAACTGCATGTGCACATGCTAGGATATCTGTGGCCATCCTTGGATGGAAGCATCAAGAAAAAAGTTAACAGCAGTGGTTGCCAGGAGGAGAACAAGGGGACCAGCCCATCTGAGGCAGAGTAAATTGAGCCGCCACCTGCAGCATCAGGACCCTATATGGGCAGCGATTCAAGAACTAGCTGCTCTGTTCCCCATTCAGCTCCTTGCTAGTGGACCTAGGAAAGTAGTGGAGGACAGTCCAAGGGTTTGGACCTTTGTACCTGTGTGGGGGACCTGGAGGAAGCCCTGGCCATTGCAGATGTTTGGGTAGTGAATCAGAAGATAGGAGAGCTCGCTCTCTCTCTCACACTCTCTGACTGCCTGTCATATTAAAAAAATCTGCTTTAACAAGAGAACAAGATGAAAAGCCTTATTTTTCTCTTGAGGTACTGCTGTTCTTATTCATTTCTAAATTGTACATATCCATGATGTACCATGTGGCATTTCAATACCTGTACACGGTGCATAATAATCAGGTTGTGATAATTGACGCATCTGTCACTTCTAACGGATATCTTTTCTTTGTGTTGGGGCCATTCAACAGCCCCTCATCAGCCATTTTGAAATATTTAATTGTTGACACGTGCTATAGAATATTAGAAGTTAGTTCTCTTAATCGTACCCCTGTACCCATGAACCATCCTTTCTGTACCCTCATTTCTCACCTGGGAAACCTATTTCACTGTCAGCACATTGATTAATACCTTTTGAATTCTGAAGCCCATGTACCTGACAACTGTTTAAAAACACCCATGACTTAGAAATGATCCAGCTGGGAAAATGCGGCCCTGACAAGTAGCCATATGCTACTACATGAGGCAGCCCACGCCAAGCACAGAGTGAGTGAGACAGAGAAGGTAGGTGCTAGAGAAGCCAGAGGAGGGAGTGTGGCGCCTGGGGCTCAGTAGGTTTTGGATGGCCATGACCATGACCTCAGCTGGAAGGAACGGTCACACTGAGACTGATAGGGGGTGGAGTAGCCTTCCAGATGCAGGAAATGGTGAGAACTTGGCTTTGGAGGCAGGCATGGTTCTGACACATCAGAGGCAAGAGAATAAAGTCGCTGGGTAGGATCCAAGGTCATGTCTGTCTGCAGGGGGTAATTGTACCCTGGCTTTAGAAGTGGCAGGGATGAAAGCATTCTTCTGTACAGAAGGAGTCCTAGGAGCCAGTTTGGGTGAGGCTCCCTGCTGCTCCAGGTCTAGGCTCCAGCTCCCCACACCCACACCCAATTCAACCCAGGCCTACTAGTGCTGCCAGTGGAGGTGCTCAGTGGGGTGCCTTGTAGGGTCTGAAAGGAGGTGACCAAGGAGCAGCTTGGGTGACCTAGTGGACACAGTGCACAGAAAGAGAAGCCAGCGGCCTCTTGGCACAACCAACCATCTTGACAGGTAAAGAGCACCTCTCCCTCTCAGCCCTTCCCAGGCCCTCACCCTACCTCCTGCTAGGAGCAAGGGAACCCTTTCCAGAGGGCAAAGAGCCCCCAAGCAGCCTCTGCCCTAGTTCCACCCCAGAATGCATGACCCTGTCCCCAATTCTGGTGGCACCCACTCCAGAGCCCAGGCAGAGGCGTACCAAGCGTCACCCACACCCTGCCCTTGAGGGACCTGAGTCACCATCTGGGTATTGGTGTCTGGAGGGGTGCCTAGAACCATCTGTGTGGGCAGGAGTGAGGAGACCAGCACAAGCATTAGCTCTGACTTACCTGGGCTTGGATCCTGGCTCGTCCATGTCCTAGCAAGTTAATCTTGTGCAAGCTACAACTTTTCTGAGCCTTGGTCTGACTTCTGCAAAGTAAGCATTCAGTTAACCAGCACCAGGGCAGGCAGCATCCAGGAGGCTGAGGTGAGAAGAGGCAACATGGATGCCCGCCTTCTGCCCACAGAGCTTTCATTCCAGTGGATATGCTAACTGTGCTCAGCTCAAGTCAACAAAGTAATTCAGGTGTCAGGCTTTGCCTGTGCAGGTGCACAATAAACAACAGTAGTTTCTTGGGGCTTAAATGGTTTGCAGGAAAAAAGACTAGAAGGAAGGTGTGGCTCCCCCATGCTGTTATGGCCCCACCATCTTCCACTTACTACAAGGTGATTATTAGGAACCGAGTGACAGAGTCTGGCAGTGAGGGCTGGATGGAGAAGGGAAGGAGTCCCTCCAGGCCCTGGGAGGCAAGCTGGTGTGAGGCCTCATCGGGGGAGGGACTGGGGGTATGCCCCCTCTCTCTGGACTCTACTCCTCACTTTCCCTCTCTACAGTACCCTGGGCTGGGATCACCCACTGCACCCCCCAAAAAAAAATCATACATCAGGCCAAGGCCATCCAGGGTTCTGTCCAGACTCAGATAATGAGAAGAAAGTGGTTAGAGACTGAAGGTGGCTAGAAGGGAGATGCTAGGGTTTTCCTTTCCCTCGCTGCAAACCAGGTAGCCTCCCCACATGGTGATGGTGTCCCCTCCATGACTTGGATTCCTGCCCAATGTCCTTTCATCCCTCTGGCTCCCACTGGGTGGTTCCAGCTTCAAGGCTGCAATGT